CTTTACTTAGATAGGTATACATTCCCAAAATAGTGGGATCTTTATTATTCTGTAATTATATATAATTATCATTAGGGTGAAACCATAATGTATGGCTTTGTGTCGTCAATGTCTTTGTGACCTTGTTCTCTTGGTGAGAATATTCTTTCTTGGTGAAAGTATCTTTGTGATTACTCGTGTTTTTTCATTTTTTTTGTTTAATATTTGTTTAGTTGTTTGTTCTTTGTTATTCGCACGTGAGTGTATTCGATCGATATAAACCTTCAATTGGTATCATAGTTGGTTTTTTGATACATTCAAGATTTAGAAGTTCAAGCTTTCTTCAGAAACTAGAAAATCAGAAGAAGAAGAAGAAGAAGAAGAAGAAGAAGATAGCTAAGACATCTTTGTGATTAAAAAAAATTCAAACTTTTTTTTTGTTTTCTTTTAAATTATTTTTTATTTTTTACTTAATACATATACTTAAATAAAAATAAAAATAAAAATAATATTTCGTTTTTCAAAGTTCAACTAGTTTTGTTTTAAGATAAAATATTTTGTATATTTTTGTTCTAAAATTTATTTAGTTTGCTTTACTTTTATCTTTTATATTCATTTTTTTTCTAGTTGTAGTTTACATATAAAAAAATAAAAAATTGATTTGCAAAAGTTTTATTTAATTTTCTTTTAAGATAAATTTTTTTATGGAGTAGTTAAGTTTATTTTGCTTAAATTTTGTTTTTTATGTTTATTTTGTTTCTTTAGTTTCTTTAAATTTAAAAAAAAAAAACAAGTGTTGTGCAAGTCTTCTTAGCAAGGTGTTTCAAGTGTAAATTTTCTATCAACTTGATAGAAATATAAAATGGGGGGATGCATTGGAATAATGCAAAGTGGTGTCTAACCTTCAATCTGGGGAAAAATTTAATGTGGTGTTTGATGTTCAAGTTATCTATGAACATTAGAACCTATTTTACCCCCTAATGCTCCTAACAGTTATGCATTTATTGTGTGTTTAAAGTTCTTTGATTTCGGACGCAAATTTAAAGTTAAACGAGACATAACATGAATGTTTGATCATGTGATGTTTTTACATAGTTTCAAAAGGGTCCTGGTGATGGTCTACCTAATGCGTCAATACACATTTGGTTCACGATTTGCAATTTCATTGCACAATTTTAATGAAACTAGTGAGAAATGTCATGATTTATGATCATACGCTACACTTATAAAGTGTTTCAAACAATTGAATCACAAGCATAAGAGGGGGGGGGGGGTAATCATGACAGAGGCAACTAAGCAGAAAACTGAAAAGCATGTAGTAATGATTTTTGAAGTTGAAACATATGCTTCACCTGGTATGGTTACTCATTCTAAAATCATTGTACCTTTCATGTTTTAATGGTAACATGTCTTGAGCCAAGTATGTTAACTTTTGACTAGATAGTGTCCCTAGAAACATGTTGTTGTATGTGCCTAAATCTTTCTAAGTAATCTCATCAGCGAGACCATCTGTTGAGATGACATTGACTCACCCACTCACATTGATTGTCTAGCATCGTCTAAACTTTCAAAGTGAGATTGCCTAGTCCAAATTAGATAATTATAGAAAGGCTTGGGTGTTTATTTTCTTGGTTAATCATCACTTACCTGGCTCTCGTCCCTGGAAGCATGCTTTATGTATGCATCAAGTCTCATGTTCTACTGAAACATTGAGCATAATCTAGTGGCTTACCTTGATTGCATAGTCATCAGCGTAAGAGATACTTGTCTGGTCCTCAAATGACAAAGGGTTATTCATGGCCTTGACCTCCTAGACTGAGGTATGACATGGTACCATTACAAATTGATGGTGAATCTTTGATTCTAGACTACAACTAACTCTATGCTGCAAGGATTAAACCACTTCTTGCTGATGGGTTATCACTGTCAATGATTCACGCTAATTTCACCTCAGCGTGATTGAGATATCCTACTTCTTTCCACAAGTCTTCTTTATAAGAACTTATTGATTCACTGTGTAAAACCACACATTAATAAGAGTTTGAAACTCTGTGCCAATGGTTAAGCTAAAACACAACAGCTTGTCACATGCACCAATCCATTCTCACCATATATTCTTCTTTAGAATTTTATGACTCAACGTATGAAGCAAGACGTTGATGAGAATTTGAAAAAATATGTGTCAATGGGTATAATATTGATCGTGATGTATTACACGCACCTACCTATTCTTTCCCAACAATTCTTCTATTAAAGAAGTTAATGATTCTGTGACATCCCCATTTTCACGGCCAGAAAAGACCGATTTGTTTATGCTTTGTTTGAAAATTAGAGTAACATTTTAAAGAAAAGTGTTGCGGAAACTGAGTGGGTCAGGATTGGGAGTCTGGTGAGCAGATAGGGTTTTCAACCCACAATAATAAGTTTATTAATTTCATCACACCAAACAAACCCGATTACCCGTTCCGTTATCCTCACTTTACGTCCCTAAAGCATCTAATATAAGGGACCTAGTCTAAGGATTTCCATCGGGGTGACAACACTGCTTCGGGGGTTCCTCAATAATTTATGTCAAATAAGGCAACCATGAAGGGGATGGAGTACTGTTGGGCATGCAAAGTCATAAAGTTGGTAACTTTATGACTCTTAGTGGTATTTTGGCCTTAGATTTGAAATTTGGACGTGAAAGATTAATGCATTAAGCTCTTATTGAGGAAAGAAGACTCTGAGCGTATGCCGTGCGTACCTTAGCGTACGTCGCGCGTACATGGTCAACCTCCCGAATTCGGTCAAAGAAGGAGTACGCCTAGCGTAGGAGCTGAGTATGCCCCGCGTACTCGGCTAAGTGGACCAAATTGGCTCCTTGACTCGTTGACTTTGACTTTGACTTTGATCAAGGTTGACCAAGTTTGAGTTAAGGGTATTTTGGGTATTTTGAGCTATAATTTAAGCCTTAGTCTCTATCTGTTGAATAGGTGACCTGTAGAGCCGGTATTCGGAGCAGTGTATCATTCAGCTATTCGTCAAACAATGATGTGAGTTTTCCTCACTGTGTTTGTGGGTCGAAGGCACCAATGCCGGCCCCTTTAGTTATGTATCATGGTATATAAGATATTGTTATACGGTAGTGATATGTGGATCTGTCTACTAGTCTGTTAACTGGTTATATGATTATCTGTTGCTGGATATATGTTATTTGTTATGTATATGTTGACATGGTATGGTGGGGTTGAGACTGTACTGCTTTGTGCTATCAGTCAACAGATCGCGACATTCCAACCGAAAGGTTATGGGCCGGGGGTAATCCAACCAGGAGGTTGTAGACTCGTTATGTATTGGGCAAGCCAACCGAAAGATTGTGGGCCGGGGATAATCCAACCAGGAGGTTATGGACCCGTTATCTATTTGATTATATGTTTGTGTGGTGTGGTACTTTGGGGGAGCTCACTAAGCTTTAGCTTACTATTTTTAGTTTATCGTTTCAGGTACTTCAGAGGATCGTGAAAAGGCGAAGGCGTGATCGTACACAACTTCCTGTTTTTATGTCTTTGGGTTTTGAGAAAACTCTGATTTAAAATAATGTTTTTGAAACAATGACTATTTTTATAAACAATGTTGATGAATGGTTGATTTTAAAATTTTAAAATTATTGTGATTTTTGGAGTGTTACAAATATTTTGTGAATTTTCTGAAAATTACAATGGAATTAATGGATATTATTATTAAAAAATCATTTATAAACATAACAAATTTTTTTATTATAACAAAAGGAAATACATTTGTTACTAATTTCTAAGAACATAATAGTGGACTAAGTACTCATTTATTGCTTGTTGACCACTTCAAACTCTCTACATTCCTCATATGCATCGTTGTGGGTGTAATTGTGAGATGTATTCTATAAGTGTTCATCTTATGTTCTTTAACCTAACTACCACCCAACATCCATACCTCACCTGATAACAACCATCCAACACACATCTATTGAATGTAAAAACTAAACCGTGAATGTCAATTTATATGGAAACATATGAAGTGTGTTTATCTATTTAAATTGTCATTCAAATTTCACTTTTTAACTCTCAATAGATGTGTGTAATTCGATGATTGTTACCAGGTAATGTATGAATGTTAGGTGGTATTTAGGTTAAATAACATAATGAAAGATCTATATATTCAAGAATCATTATGTAATAATATTTTTATAATAACATATGATCATATAGCGTCACACCTTATAGCAAATAGATATTTATTGATTGTTTATTAAGTAATTTGATTATTAATAAGTATTATCAATTTTTGTATTTAATAGGGAACGTACAAATTAGATCTCATCATGACACTTAAGACAATGCATAGGAGGAACATAGAGACTATATAGTTTGAAGTGGTCAAGGGCTACCGTTTTATTCCTAGAAATTAGAAACAAATATATATATATATATATATATATATATATATATATATATATATATATATATATATATATATATATATATATATTTGTTATGTTTATAAATGATTTGTTATGTTTATAATTAAAAAAAAATTATGTTTATGATACATTTTTAGTTTTTGTATATATTTACGACGGAAAAGTTAGTAATATTTTAGTCAAATTTATTAAAAAGCCTCGAACTAATTTTTCTTTAGAAAAAACATCATAAGTGGTCCCTGTGGTTTCCTAAAATTTGAAGTTTAGTCCATGTGGTTTAAAAACGTCATAGATGGTCCCTGTGCTTTCAAAACTTTTGACGATTGGTCCTTATTGCTAACTCCGTTAATTTTTGTCCGTTAACTGAAGGGCATTTTCGTCATTTCACAACCACAGTGACCAGTTATGATGTTTTCTAAGAAAAAAATAAATATAATTATTTAATATATAAAAGGTCTCTCTCTCTCTCTCTCCAAAAAGAAACCCGCCATTGTATATCCTCAAATCCAAGTTCTCTCGCACACAAAATACACCAAATCAAACCACAATAACCCAATATTTTTAAGATTTAACAAACGAATCCATGGTTCATTTGAAGTCGATTGCAAGTATTTAACCCGACAGATGAAGTCAACATCCCCTGTCCCTCCTTATTCTTCTTCTTCTTCTTCTTCAACCACAAGGCACACTCTACAGGCGAGCACTTCCAGTGCACCGTGAAGTAATTGGGAAAGGGTATTTCCGGCCATATAACCCTGTCCCTCCTGATTTGTTTGGATTAAAAACCTTCAATTAAGTTGCAAGTTATCTCAGGCATTTCATGGAGCACTTCCAGTGCACTGTGAAAGGGTATTTCGGAGGCGAGACCTAGCACCCTCCTTTCTCTTTCGAATCTCTGTTATTGACTCTGATGGGTGCTCCGACTGGTGACCAATTGACGATGGCAACTTCCTTCATTCTGACTTCTTTTTCTTCTTCCTTCTCGGTCTTTCTTCACCTTCACCAGATCTCATGGTAGCCTCAGACGCCAACAAGAGCTTCATTGATTCTCTTTGCTTTTATCATTGGCGACACACACAATAAAACACACAAAAACAGTAAAACACACACATACACACTCTCAACAGGCCTTAGTGGCACTCTCACTTACCCTCAATGCTCATTTGTAAACCGTGTGGGTTGAACTGGAACGTTTCAGCTGATGTTTGATCTGTAAACCCACTAGAAAACGAGATGAAACAATTACACACACTTCACCTTAGCCTCTGGATCATAACTTCTTCTTTTCGATTCACTCGGTATTGAGGCTCAAAGGGGTGGGAAGCAACTCGTAACAGACATAAAATAGTTTATTTAGGGTAGGGATCAATTGACATTTCAAAGGAATCGAATTGTAGGCTTTTAAAATGGTGAAGAATGCATACAGTCGTTAAATTGATCTACTAGGGAGAAGACAGTCGGGTTTGCAATCTTAACAGATTCGGTCCTTGCAGTTTGTTCTAATGACAGATCCTACCCAAAACTGAAATATTTCTTCAAAACTGATTTCTAGAAAACATCATAAATGGTCCCTGTGGTAGTGAAATGACGAAAATGCTCTTCAGTTAACGGACAAAACTTAACGGAGTTAGCAATAAGGACCAATCGTCAAAAGTTTTGAAAGCATAGGGACCATTTATGACATTTTTTAAACCACGGGGACTAAACTTCAGATTTTGGGAAACCACAAGGACCATTTATGATGTTTTTTCTTTTCTTTATAAAGAAATACAAAATATCGGCTAAAACTTCGAAAAAACTAAATTTTGGCCGGTTTTGCAGATTTAATAAAAATATTAGGACTTTTCTAAAAATTACTCAATGACCAAAGTATTATGATTTTTTTGAAAATTATCATGAAATTAATGGATATTAAAGTCATTTCCCATTTTTAAAATATGTTATTAACCAAAAACCACTGGCAATACGCAAGGTAACAAATACTGAAAGTAGACCTGACAATTCGTGTATTCGTGTCACGAAAACATGTCAGCGACAAATTTGACACGATACGATTACACAATGAGAAATACGCCTTATCTCAATTTTTAAAGACGTATTCGTGTCGTGTATTCGTGTCTTGTCGTGTCTCTCAAATATTCGTGTATTCGTGTCTGAAATTGCCAGGTCTACCCGAAAGGAATTTCTAAAACCTAGCTCTAAAACCCTACCGAAAATCTGTCTATTTTTTTTTCCTTCTTTCATCGGTTGCTGGCTTGCTGCTGCTTCGCCTCCCTTTTATCGTTCCTTGCTTCCATCTTCTTCTACCAAAAATTAAGCAGGTAAAGTTTGCTCTTTTGACCGGGTGTGATTGACTCTACGAAAAATCGATCAGTTTTTATTCGCTGAAACCTTATCTGATCCATCTCTCGCAATGACCCACTTTATTTAGTTTTGGTTCTGTTATGGAATAAACACACTTTACAAGAACACCTTTTCAGAACTCAATTGTTAAAATCTTCCCAAAATCGTGTGTTCGTTCTATTTTGAATAGTTGTTCCTTATACAGTCTTTCAATTCAGTTTGTAGCAAATTGAATCCTGTTCATGTTTATTTTGATTGATTTTTTCGTAAAAAATATGCAGATTAAGGCGAAGAAGAATCCAGCTTCTGTTAATCCATATGGAGATTAATGTGAAGAATATAGCATTTGACCTTGATTTTCATCCTTCTAATCAGCTAGTTGCTGCTGGTTTAATCACTGGCAACCTTTATGTGTAAGTCCATATTACAACATGCTGTTTGTTTCTGTATGTGTGTTTGCGACAATTTGCAGATACAAAATACTTGAATGTTATCTAACCAAACAATCTTTATACCCTACAGATATCGGTATGCTGAAGATTCTGAACCTCAAAGGTAAAGTATATGAGTTAAAGACACATGTCATATGAAAATTGTAAGATTTTTGGTAAAAAAATGTTCACTATACCAGCAATGCTGTTAACCACATTTAACTCAAGTACTGTTTGGTGCAATGAAATTTGAGTTTTGGAGTTGAAAATTTGAAATCAATACTTTTTAAGATTGAAATTTGAAACAATATTGGTTCAATTTCAATTCCAGTTCTAGACCTTATCAATGTATTCTTGTGTCTTTATGGATAGAAAGTAAAGGAAAAAAAATACTATTTTATATGTTTTCTTGAGTTGGAAAGAAAGGGAGCTAAAGTCAAGGAAAATTGACAATTATCAATTTTGTGTAAGTATTTGGTAATAGATATTAGGGTAAAATAAGAGGACACTTTTATCATTATAAATATAGGAAGGAATATTTTGAAGAAAAAACAATGAAAATGGAAAGAATGGAAAGCAAAAGATAACTTATTACTTCATTTTATGTTCTTGACCATGTTCTGGAATTGGAAAGAAAGGAAAGGAAACCTGGGGTTTTACAATTATACCCTTCTTGTTTGTTCCCTACAAAGTATATAACATTTTTTCAGGGGTAATTTCGTCATTAAAAAACCGTTCTTATACTATGGTTTCTCTAAAAACTATCATTTCAGGGTGTTGAAAGTTCGTGCACACAGTGAATCTTGTAGAGCTGTTAGATTTATCAATGAAGGACGTGGTAATGAACCAACATTGTTTATACTTTATATTCTCTTGAACCATGTAATTTACTTTTTTACCCTCAGTAACAACATACTTGATTATGAATGTGTGTATTTGTCATCAGTGATCCTCACAGGTTCTCCAGATTGTTCTATTCTTGCAACTGATATTGAAACAGGATCTCCAGTTGCTCGTCTTGAAAATTCTCATGAGTAGGTGTTCTTATTTATTTATTTATTTATTTTTTATTTTTAAAGTTATATAAAAATATCAGATTTGCTTTAACAATATATATTTTTTTAGGAAAGCTGTGAACAGGCTAGTTAATCTCACAGAAACAACAATTGCTTCTGGAGGTGATGAAGGGCATATAAAGGTTTATTGTTTGTTATTATATTTTTCCTTTATTTAGTAATATCTTTTATTATTATTATTATTATTTCATATTTTGATTTTTTAAATGTAGGTATGGGATACAAGACAGCAGACATGCTGCAATTCATTTAAAGTTCATGAAGAGTATATTACTGATATGACCTTTGAGCCTGATTCCATGAAACTATTGGGAACAAGGTAGGAAAAGTTGTCCCTTTTTTAATATTTATTTATTTATTTTTATTGAAGCTTCCATGTAAGCCATTTTAACAATAAAATCATTTTTGTTTTCATTTATTTTTTTGTAGTGGAGATGGCACTCTATCTGTTTGTAACCTACGAAGTAGCAAGGTAATTGGTTTTCAATCTTTTGTCTGTGCAAAAGACGTAAATACCCTCATCATCAAAAATAGCTATAGAAAGCATGTGTTTTAGTACTATTTTTGACGAGGAGGGCATCCATGTCTTTTGCACAAAGAGTTTGTTGGGTTGGAAAAAAATAAATTTATGTTCCATTGATGATATAAATATAATAATTAATAAATCTAAATTTTGATTATTTTTTCAGGTTCAAACCCAATCAGAGTTTTCTGAAGATGAGCCATTATCAATAGTGATAATGAAGGTATGTTTTTGAGAGCAACTCTTTTAGTAGAGAGTGATAATAGAATGTAGGGTAAATTACACCTTTGGTCCTTGTATTTAGTTGATATTTACAAATATGGTCTGTTTTTTTCATTTTAAACCTTTTTTGTCCCTAAAAATGTCTTTTGTCACACTTTTAGTCCCTGAAATTGTCGCCTTTTGAAAGGTGTTATCAAAGATGTCATGTGTGTTGCATGTGAGGGTAAATTAGTCTTTTTTATATTAATATGTGGCTGTTTTTGGTACTTAGAATGGTAGAAAAGTTATATGTGGGACTGAAAGTGGGACCATGTTATTATACTCATGGGGCTTTTTCAAGGATTGCAGGTAATTCTCAATGCAAATTTGGTAATTTTTTAGATATTGGCAATGTACTTTTGGAGGGCATTTACGTCTTTTGCAAAGATTTAACTCTTTTATTTGTAATTTCCAGTGATCGCTTTACTGGTCTTTCTCCAAATCCAGTGAACGCCTTGTTGAAGGTGAGAATGATGTTTTCGGTTTTATTTAAATGATTATAAGTTATTATTAATATCCATTTTATAATTACAAATTACTGATTTGCCCCTTTCCAATATTGTTTAGCTTGATGAAGAAAGGGTTATCACTGGAACCGAAAATGGTCTCATCAAGTGAGCAGGCTTTTGTAGTTGCATTGTTTAATTTATATTTTCTAATAATCATAATTTTTTATTTTATTTATTTATTTTTTTTGTTATTGTGTTTAGTTTGGTAGGTATATTACCCAACAGGATAATTCAGCCAAATTGCAGAACATTCAGAGTATCCCGTTGAGCGTCTCGGTAAGCTTTATTTATATTTTAATTAATTAATTAATTAATTAATTTATGGGAAAATAGATCAAATGAGTAAAATTAAAAGAAAACTGGTTAAAAGTTGCCTGATTGAATGTTTACAACCTCCTAAATTGCTTTATTATAAATGTTGATGATGGAAATCATATTTAATATCTTATCACCTAATTACACTTTTGGTCCCTATGTTATATCGGTTTTTTTTTTATATGGTCCAAAAAGAATCCCTTTTGTATTTTTGGTCCCTATTTCATTGTTTCATAACCTTTTTAGTCTCTGGGTCGTCAAACTTAACAGCCCAACGATCACATTTATGAAAAAATGACCATTTTGCCCTTGTCTTGTTTTATTTCTTGTATCTAACGTGTGATTTTTTTTTTTGTAACAGCATTTTCTCATGACAGAAAGTATCTTGGAAGCATATCACATGATTCCATATTAAAGGTGTGTTCTTTGTGTCCCTATAATTGCATTTGTTACACTGGATTGGACAAAATTTGTAGAGCTATTTTTATGAGGATTAGAAGGGCATTAACGTCTTTTACATGTACTAGATTGCAATTTTCTGTTAACTGTCAACCTTTTTTTTGCAGATGTGGGATATTGATAGTCTACTGCAGGATACTGGAAAGAAAGCAGAGGGTAAATCAGCTGCTGCTGACAGTGATAATGATGATGATGACATGGATATGGATATGGATAAGGATGATATTCTTCCAAAATCATCTAAAGGTAGTCTATTTCTACTTTCATTTCATTCTATTTACAACATTTTCTTATTTACCCAGTCATTATTAACTTAAATGACCATATTACCCTTATTGCTTTTGGCTCTCTTCTCTTTAGGCACAAAGAGGAAAAACAACGGAGCTGGCCTCGATACCACAAGCGATTTCTTTGCAGATTTATAGTTTAAGTTCATGAAAACATGCAAAAAAGCATTTTATGTGACTTTCATCTTTTTTTTTTATTACCGATATTCCAAATATTGTCAATGTGTTTCTTTAGTAATTATTTATTTATGGTTTCTCTTAAATTTTGTTTTACATGATTATTCGAGGGATTTAATTTTTTAAACATATTATTAAAAAGTTAAATACCCATCATCTGTGCACCATAGCTTTATCTTTTTCTCAATCTATGAAAAAAGTGATTTTTTAGATGATACAGGCAACCATGTATACACTTTCATTCTAAGATCAATATATGCAAAACTGTGAGCAAACGCGTAAACTTGTGTGGTGACACTGGTTAAATGCTTATTTTGTATGAAATTTTACTCTACCAGTTTATGTAAATTTATAAGTTAATGTGAGTGATAGAATTATGCTATAGTATGGTGCAATATTTTTAATAATAGCGAATTTGATTATCAACGTGCATGTGGCTTAGCAGTATCAGAATTTTTGGATACGTGTCCATTAGCCAAAATTTGAGGGTTCATTACCCGTGAAAGTATTGATCTTCAAAACCCTTGTAGAAGCACAATAAATTATGTGAAAATTATAGCAACTAAAGAGGTTGCGAGCAATTCCATTTCTTGATATTTCTCTCTTCGTATATAAATTGTAGTGAATTTCAAATTCAATGTTTTTAGAACATACATGACCACAATGATAATAAAAAGCTATTAACAAAATGATGGGAATATAGTTCAAGAAACAACAATTCAAGAGAATAATTTTGATATACCTTAACAAAAGAACTTTAATAGAAGCAAAAATGTATTGTTTGAAAAAAAAAGCCATTTGGCATAAGTAGTTGGTAGTAACTAGTAACTACGAACTGAAAGTAGTAGATGTCAACTGAAAGTTGTACGAGTATTTGACAAAAATAACTGGTAGTTTTTTAAGGTGTAAAATTACATATAAACCAAAAGTTAAAAGCTCACAAAAGCTAAAAACTTCCAAAATCTATTTGAGTAGCTTTTTGATTAAAAGCTCTTGTTGCCGAATAAACTTTTTTTTTTCAATTTTTTTTTATTAAAAACTAAAAACCAAAAACTCCATGACAAACATGGCAGTAAATGCATTGATAATGATAGTCAATATTCAATATGAATATAGAAGAGCATACACAGCACACCAGACGATACTTCTTCATAAGAAGCTCTCATTACTCATTATTAAAAGATACTTTCAATACTCATTAATAAAAGATACATAGTGAAAACTTGAAAGAAGGAAAATAAGAATCGGAACTTGTATATCATATATATCTCAACGTATATAAATTGGGTAAGTAGTAATCACATATAATAAGAATTAAATTATATTGAGATTTATCCACCCATTTTTTAAATAAATTGTAAAAATAAAAAACATTGCTAATTCAAATAAGGATGAATGTTAGTTAATGATTTCTGAAACGTGCTTTTATGAGTCAACATAAGCATAGTTAAGGGGCTAAACTGTAACTATTGGTATAACGTCAGCACTGTGCAAACCCCCACTACTCGTCAAATAATTACACGCCAAGATGCTTTCTCCGCCCGTAATATTCAAATGCCCCCATTCCTCAATCATTCCACCTTTCTCCAAAATCCTCTTATTAGGGTTCTACAAGGGTTTCTCCTTACGTATAACAATGGAAAATCAAACCAGTGAAATCAGCTTTTGATCATCCGTTTATAGATACAATTCATATATACAACAGTTATTAGTTGATGAATGGCTGCTTATCAACCGATCAGAGGTAACGGGCCTGGTTTACAGTTTTTGAATTTTCCATTTGGAGACACCACGCACACCAAGGTTTTTGTCGGAGGACTGGCATGGGAGACACATAGTGAGACGCTGCATCGTTATTTTGATCAATTCGGAGATATTTTAGAGGCTGTTGTCATCACTGATAAACATACAGGGAGATCTAAAGGCTATGGTTTTGTGAGTTTCTTCAAAACCTTTTGTTTTTCAGATGTTGATTTTGCTTCAAATTTTATGTATGAAAGTACTTTTTCATCGTTTTTATATAGAGTAACATATGGCTGAAGTTGATATTTTTAGTATCCTGAAACAAACTATCACCTCTTTGTATATATGAGGATACGGAAGTGAAAGATCAACACAAATTGAGTGGCGTTTTTAGAAGAACTGTCCCTTAAAAGAATGAATTAGGCGGTGTCAAAACTTTGTTAAAATTTCGAAACCTTTTACCCTTCTGCTGCATGTTTATTTCTTACATGACAGTCTCCTTGTTGCTTATTTTTATATGAATGATTCAAGGAAATATTCATTTCTCTTGATTAGTTGATTGTATAAATTTCGTGCAAGTTTTTGCTGTTTTCTTGAAGGAAGCAATAACCAATTAACCATACTAATATAATGTAAAGGAGCATGCCATATGCATGTTAGATGTTGGATTTGCATAAATGCAGGAAAAAATTATAAAAATAAAAAATCAATATCCGTTGTGTAATGACCACCTCATGCCCATGAAATCATAATTACTATTATTGTCCTTTTAAGCTGACATCTCTTTCACCTTTTTCTTTCTCTTCTGTAAATCTGATTTTTTTTTTAATTATTACTATTATTTTTTTAACTTATTAGGCCCATTTGTTACACAGTTGGGTCTGATATCAAGAGAAATTGTAAGTTTTTTTGTCCCATCCAAAAGGTGGGATAGTGACAAACTCGGTCTCTCGTATGTACAAATGACGTAAATGCCCTTCTAATTTTGATCATCAAAAATAGTGCCAAAAAGCTTGTCTCGTCCAGGACAAACTTTGCAGGGCTATTTTCGATGATGAGAATGAGGAGGGCATTTATGTCTTTTGCACATACAAGAGAACGAGAAGTCCACCTTGTTTTACCTTTTTGGTTGGGGCAAATAATTTACAATTTTTGTTCCATTGACATTATTCTATCAATCGTGTGTCATGTGTAACAAACAGAGTCTTAGTGATATATATATCTTGTGACTATTGTGATTATGGTGGAGTTTAGGTAACATTTCGTGAGGCTGAAGCTGCAGAGAGGGCTTGTGTGGACCCCACTCCGGTTATTGATGGTAGGAGGGCAAATTGTAATTTGGCATCCCTTGGGCGGGCCCAACCTTCTTTCACATATGGTACATTTCTTTTAGCCTCTAATTCATATATTAGGGATCTTCCAATAGAATATAGCTATTATCTTCTATGCTTCTTGTAACTAGGGAATAAAAATGAACATATATGAAAAAATCGATACGCCATTGATTGATGATAATTCAAGCATTCATTTTTTTTTTATTGTAGGACATGTGGGACCCACAGGAAACTACTTGTGGGGTCCCCAGAACATGGGAGGATCCTATCGCCAACCGGTTCCTTATGGACCTTATGGTTATCAACAATACCCTTATTCTTTATATGGGTAAGTTATCACTTCAAAAAAAGAATGAGTCAATTTGGGTTTTAAATTTATTGCTCAAGGGTCTTAAGGGTAAAATTTAAAATTTAGCTAAAAAGGAAATGTGTCATGGATTAAAAGCCACCTAAAGTGTAATTAAGTGGTGAAATGCAACAACAACTAGTTATGTACTTTTATTTATTTATTTATTTATTATAGCACCTTACTCAAATCATACTTTCCCAATTGTAGCAATATTGTTCAAATACAAAGCAATTATCACTTCTGTAATTGAATAAAATTTCAAAGCACAATGTCTTAATAAGAAAAAAAAAATAGAAAGTACAATGCTATAATTGGGTAAATTACTAAATTTATCAAAGTATAATGTTCTAATAGGAAGAAATGGGAGTAGGATGCTATAATAAACAAATAAATTAAAGTATGTTGCCATTTCTTCCACTAGCTTGTTTACAACCTTCTAATTTTCTTTATTCAAAAAATTGGTGTATCATTTAAATATTAGTTTTTATAATCATGTTTACATTTATTATTTAAGACTATAATTGCTAGTTTCTATACTATATTGCAATGCCGAAAATACGTAACTTTTACTTAGAACTCTTAATCCCATTAAATTTTATATAAAAATTGGTTTTGACAGGTATTCAGCTTATGGACCCGAATATGTCTTTCCTCAGGTGAATAACTCTTTGTAGCTCATAAATTATTATATTCTTCAAAAAGATTAATTTTAATATCTTTAATATTATGTTATTGAAGTGTACTAATTTTATCTTCAAAATTCAGATTTCAAATGGAAGAATAGTTTTGTTGTAGAAATACTTGTACTTTTGTAAGGTTTAATTAATTAATTTTTTCAGGTTCCGTATAATCCTTATGTGGGCCAGCATCACCCTCAGATGTTGGGCAGTCCGGGCAGTGTTTTCCCATATAGTCAGATGGGCCCGCCTGCCCCGGGCAGCCCTGGGTATAGGGCTATTCAGGGAATTGTAACACCTGCTCCTAATGTTATGCCTTATGCTACACCTAATGTCATTACAGGTGAAACCTTTTTTTTTCTACAGATTTATCTTATATCTGTTATGAATTATGATGAGGGTATTTTGGTCTTTTATAAATATGTAAATAATTATTTTTACTTTTATTTATTTCAGGCGTTGCTCCACCATCTTTTGGACAGGCAAGGAATATGTTTCCATCCGAATGAAGATGATGTAATCGGTGGACAAAATGGTCATTTTTTAAGGTTCATTCCATTACCATATATTTAATAGGGGTATTATGGTCTTTTTAACCTTTCTAGGAAAATTTTCAATGATAAAGTGGGGAGGGCATTTACGTCTTTTGCATTATTTGCAGGATGACTGTCACGTGGTTCTTCAGAAGACTTCAATTTTCACCTTGGATGAATTTTCATTTAGTGGCAAGAGGTATACAATGCATTAATAAGAAAAAAAAAATTGAAAGTACATGCTCAGAAGAAGATGAGGACAAATTTGTAATTTTACAATGGGCTTAACACGTATTTCTAAATGTCGTGCAAGTCAATATCAAATACTTGATCTTAAATATTTGCTATTATTGCTGTAGTTTTTGTATTTTTTTATTTAATGGGTTTGCAGGTGATGAGAAGTCATGGACGAAGGTCAAAATCAGGTCAATTATCAAAAGTCAAAACTCCAAATCCTGGAGTACGGGGGTCAAAGTGCAAGAAATGCATTTTTATGGGGGGTCATAGTGCAAAGAATGCATTTTATGGTGGGTCACAGTCGTGGAGTGTTTGGTTACAAGATTGCAGGAATTGGTTTCCTAGCAAAATCAAAATTATGTATTATGAGAGAATCAACATATGATTACTCGATTGTCAACTAGATTAGTGTTTAAGCATGTCTTTAAGTCACTATTTGATGGATTTTTTTTTTTTTTTGTATAATTTATGACGTAAGAAAGTAACAGAAACAAGAATTACAGTTGTTTTTTATGTCTTCACTTGTGTACATATGATATGGCCTCCCTTATGAATCTCTCATTAAACCATTTGTAGTTGCCATTTATACAAATATGTAAGAACTAAATGCATTGTATGAGCACATGTGTATATGTCAAATAAAGTACGTTGATGTTGTATAAAAATTGTAGTATGCATATATGCACGTGTTCATATATATGCCTTGAAAAATATATGTTACTTTGTTAAATACATATGTGCATATGTCATATCTGTGTGTGCACATATCATGTAAAGTACTTTGAAATTAATGTAACAAAATGAGTTGGTCAAAATATTTGTCTATCGAAGTTAAATGCCGAACTATATTCCATTATTATTATATTATTATATATATATTAAAGTTGTGGAAGAAAAGAATAATAAACTTGTGATATTTTGTCCAGGTTTGGTCCCTTGATTTACATATCCGGTCCTGTATTTCTTTAATTAATTTATTCATGTCCTTTTGTTTGTGTTCCATTCAACTTTCCATTTTTTTTGGCAGAATTGGTCCCTGTATTATTGTTGGAAGTTAGGAATACTAAATTTGGATGTTTTTCTGGCAACTTTGCTCATTATTCTTTACCCATTTTGACACTTTTGGTCCTTGCAATCAATATTTTTACACGTTTTTGGAACCTTTTAATATTTAAAGTTTGGCCACAAAACTTTAACGGTTTGACAACTTTGATCCCTTTTCTAAAAAGTTGCTAATTTCTACCCCTTTAATTCTTTAGCCATTTTCACACTTCTGGTCCTTGCGGTCAAAACTTTTACATTTTTTGTCCGGGGCAAAGCCCGGACTTTTCATCCTTGCACTTTCTATGTCTGTCATATTTATCAATTCGGAAACAACATTGAAAGCTTCTGACCCCGCGTAGCGGGGGTAACCTTTCTAGTATATATTAAAGTTGTGGAAGAAAGGAATAGTAAAGTTGGCATACTTTGTCCAGCTTTGGCCCCTTGATTTACATATCCGGTCCTATACTTCTTTAATTAATTTATTCATGTCCTTTTGTTTGTGTTCCATTCAACTTCCCATTTTTTTGGCAGAATTGGTCCCTGTATTATTGTTGGAAGTTAGGAATACTAAATTTGGATGTTTTTTTGACAACTTTGCTCATTATTCTTTATCCATTTTGACATTTTTGGTCCTTGCAATCAATATTTTTACACTTTTTTGGAACCTTTTAATGTTTAAAGTTTGGCCACAAAACTTTAACGGTTTGACAACTTTGATCCCTTTTCTAAAAAGTTGCTAATTCCTACCCCTTTAATTCTTTAGCCATTTTCACACTTTTGGTCCTTGCAGTCAAAACTTTTACATTTTTTGTCCGGGGTAAAGCCCAGACTTTTCATCCTTGCACTTTCTATGTCTTTACCCATTTTGACATTTTTGGTCCTTGCAATCAATATTTTTACACTTTTTTGGAACCTTTTAATGTTTTAAAGTTTGGCCACAAAACTTTAACGGTTTGACAACTTTGATCCCTTTTCTAAAAAGTTGCTAATTCCTACCCCTTTAATTCTTTAGCCATTTTCACACTTTTGGTCCTTGCAGTCAAAACTTTTACATTTTTTGTCCGGGGTAAAGCCCAGACTTTTCATCCTTGCACTTTCTATGTCTTTACCCATTTTGACATTTTTGGTCCTTGCAATCAATATTTTTACACTTTTTTGGAACCTTTTAATGTTTAAAGTTTGGCCACAAAACTTTAACGGTTTGACAACTTTGATCCCTTTTCTAAAAAGTTGCTAATTCCTACCCCTTTAATTCTTTAGCCATTTTCACACTTTTGGTCCTTGCAGTCAAAACTTTTACATTTTTTGTCCGGGGTAAAGCCCAGACTTTTCATCCTTGCACTTTCTATGTCTTTACCCATTTTGACATTTTTGGTCCTTGCAATCAATATTTTTACACTTTTTTGGAACCTTTTAATGTTTAAAGTTTGGCCACAAAACTTTAACGGTTTGACAACTTTGATCCCTTTTCTAAAAAGTTGCTAATTCCTACCCCTTTAATTCTTTAGCCATTTTCACACTTTTGGTCCTTGCAGTCAAAACTTTTACATTTTTTGTCCGGGGTAAAGCCCAGACTTTTCATCCTTGCACTTTCTATGTCTGTCATATTTATCAATTCGGAAACAACATTGAAAGCTTCTGGCCCCGCGTAGCGGGGGTAACCTTTCTAGTTACTATTAAAATAAGATTTTTATATTTATTTAATTCCCATATTCATATTCATATGTATTAATTAGGCTAATGATATTTACACAAATAATGCATCTTAAGATGACTATATTGATAAAAAGTCATTTTTAGGTATTCAAACCTCAATCTATGGTATTCAAACTTCATTAGTATGTTGTATTCATTGAATTCCACTATAATCAAATCAAAATAATATAAGTATATTTATATTTATTGTCCTTGAATTTACCCTATATTTTATTATAAATATTATAAACTACAATTACTTAGTAAGGGCATTGCATTCGTTGAATCTCACTACCATCAAATCAAAAATAATATTAGTATATTTACATTTATGGTCCTTGAACTTACCCTATATTTTACTATAAATGGCATAAACTGCAATTATATAGTAAGTGTATGCATTCGTTGAATCCCACTACGATCAAATCAAAATAATATAAGTATATTTACATTTATGGTCATTGAACTTACCTTACATTTTACTATAAATGACATAAACTTCAATTATTTAGTAAGTGCATTGCATTCGTTGAATCTCACTACGATCAAATCAAAATAATATAAGTATATTAACATTTATGGTTTTTTAACTTATCCTACATTTCACTATAAATGGTCTAAACTTCAATTATTTGGTAAGTGTATTGGATACGTTGACCATTAAATCAAATTAATATAAGTATATTTATATTTATGGTCCTTTGACTTACCCTACATTTCACTATAAATGACCTCAACTTCAATTATTTGGTAAGTGCATTGCATACAATATATTTACATTTATGGTCCTTTGATTTACCCTACATTTAACTATAAATGACCTAAACTTCAATTATTTGGTAAGTGCATTGTATATGTTGACGATCAAATCAAAATAATATAAGTATATTTACATTGATGGTCCTTTAACTTACCCTATATTTTACTATAAAATGACATAGGTTTTCAATTATTTAGTAAGTGCATTGCATTCTTTGAATCCCACTATGATCAAATCAAAATAATATAAGAATATTTATATTTATGATCATTTAACTTACCCTATAATTTATATAGTATTCCTTTTCAAGCCCAAAGTTTTACTATAAATGAACGTCTCCTAAACTTCATTTTCATTATATGATATTCTGAAATTCTGCTTATGTAAAAAAATGAGTTGGCCAAAATATTTTCCATCGTTTGATGAGTTAACGAGGTATGTTCGTTTATTAATATTTAGATATTTATGTTATTATAAATCACATACTTATATTTGTATGTATTGATTATGTTAATGATAAATCACATATTTATGTTTTTACGTTGCACCTGATCCCACATCGGCTTGGAAGGAGAACAAAACATTTTCTTATAAAGGGTGTATATACCTTCCTTGTCACAACGCGTTTTAAAGCCGTGAGGGCAGCAGATCCCATAAGAACTCTGCAGTTAAGCGTGCCCGGGCGAAAGCAATCCAGGGATGGGTGACCCCTGAGAAGCTTTCGTGTCGAGAGTCAATATTGTGATATGTGCCAGAGGGGGATGTTACAATTATATAAACAACTTACATCACTCGTTGAGTTTCACTGCACTAGATTGGGTTCTGCACAAAATGAATACTGGATGATTATATCGGATATTGGATTCCTCATTGCTAATAAGTATGGTGTAATCGATATGTATTTTTAATTAGATCGGACATTGTGTGATTATATCGGATATTGGACAATATTTTGAATTGTTTATCACTAAATGATGTATTCGATATGTATTTTTTGTGTTTTAAACAATTTATTGTTAACTGAATGGTTAACAGATCGGTGACAATATATTTTTTATATATTAAAATGCTTTTGGTAGGATCTTACGATCCGATTCGATCTTACGATCACGATTTTGCAAATCGAAAAATGATTCTATGTAAGATCCCAATCTTGACAACCTTGGTTTTGACTTTTAAAATGGTTTTTGACCCTTAAATCGGGTGTAGTTATATACATATCATGTATGTAAATAAAAAACCAGCTTTAATATCTCTTATACCACAAAATAGGTGTAAAATGGTCGTAGTGAAAATTTATTAAAAAATGTGTTTTTTTTATAGATCGAAATAAAATATAATGAGTAAAACAAAAAAAATACCAAAATAATGACTTGTATCTACATTGCCTATTTTATTTTAATCCATTACATAGGTGATGAGTCAACTCATTGAGTCCCATATTCCATCACACCTTAAGAAACACATCGCAACCACGTCCTGCTCAGATCAGCTCTCCCTGAACATTGCCGAAAAACCACCACCGCCACCACCCTCCTCCTCCACCTTTCGCCACCTCCGCCCTCTTCAAAACCCTAATTCTTACATTCATGGAAGATTACCCCGAAGAACTCCGAACACCACCGGTCACACTAGTATCTATCGTCGGTCACCCAGACCTCAATGCCACGATCTCAACTCATCTCCACTCGGAACAACCGCCGATCAATACACTCGCATTACCAGATTTTTCCAAGATCTCCGTCATAGCCAAAACCCCCAAGGAAAAAGAAAATCAATTGCCGTCAAGTTACACTTCTAGCGGCATTCTAAAAAGAGATTGGCTCTCGAAGCATCGTACTAGGGTTCCTGCAGTTGTTGCAGCTCTCTTCGATGCCGATCAACTGTCCGGTGATCCCGCCCTGTGGCAACAGGTCTGCACCGATATCGAAAACCTCAAGTATG